GTGTGATGGTCTCTCTGTCTGTCAGATTTATAATTCAATAAAAATAATATATCTGAAATTATGAAAAAACTTCATGTACGTAGAGATCATATATACGTGATGTAAAAGTTTATATAATTTAGGACTACACTTTTTCTTTTTTCTTACTCAAAATGATTAAACAAATATTATTTATTTCTGTAAAAAGTTTATTTGGGTTTTTATTGACTTTAAAAGGACGAAAGGTATGCCTATGAGAGGAAAAGGATGAAATGGGGTGTGATCGATCCAGCTAATCGCTTTTTACGGGCATGTTCCAAGGACAAAAAAATATTGACAGCCAAAGTTATTAGTTTGTTTTAAAGAAAAAATTAATTATTAATGTCATTAGAAAGTTTATTTTTAGCCCTAATTGGGTGTGTCTTTTCTTTTCTTTTTTTAATGGGATATTTGGCGTATTTTTCTAGCTGTAATTAGCTTGTAATTATCTCTTCCATGTTAGTTTTCTCTTTTATTTGTTTTTGGTATTAGGAAAACAATTTACGGTGTATAGGCTTTAGTCAAATTTGAATTTTGATATTGTATATGTTTAGACTACAATTCATGTTAATTTACATATATTTTCAATATTACTTCTTAAAAACAATATTTTGCTATCCAAATAGAATAGAAGTTGTTATCCACATCACCCTTTTACAAATTTTATATAAGTTTAACACATAAATTACTTTTAAAAAAATCAAAATAAAAAAGATGAAATATTTGTACACAAATTACTTTAAAAAAAAAGTTAAAGCACCTGTGATTGGTTCACTTTTAATATGCTCTCATTGAATAGAAGTTCATGTATATGTCAAAAGATCATATATATGAAGCTCATAGAATACAAGTATAAAATATCATATATATGTCAAATCCATTTGTTTTGTAATCTATCCATTTGTGTTGTAATGATCGTCAACTAATTTAATCTTCAATTACGATCATTGCAATCTTCTTTTTGTTTACTATAAAAATCACTCATTTCCCAAAATATTTCAACAGTCTTACAACTTTATCTTTTCGCTAAAGTCTTTCGAAAATAGCATCATAAGTTAATCATGTGTATCAACCCTCGCAAAAGAATTTGTGAATATCGAGGCTAACGAATGTTAGACTTGTAGTATTAGTATTTATAACTAAATATTGTATTGAAGTATTTTGATTATAGAAGTTAAAATAAGTTACCAAGTACTAGTTTCAGTAGATATGCTAAATATTGAAATGTTTGCATTGCACGGTCTAACCTCTGTATTTCTAATATCTTCAATAAGTTTTTGTTATATCGATATCAATGATCAGTTTATATTCATTTTTTATATTTTTACTGTGACATTTATCTAGTGAGTGATTGTTTTCAGTTTAGTAATGTGTAAAATAAAGCTACGTGCATCTTGATTATTTGTTTAATTTAAAAAAAAAAGTATTCGTAGGGAGAATGAAGTGCTATAGTTGCATATAATTACATATATAGAGGAAGGGTGCATGACTGATTTGATCAAACAATAAAATATGACTATTAGATTAGAAATGAGGCAAGTGGAATGGCCAGAGGGTGGAGAGGAATATGATGACAATATCTGTCAAATGTCAATAATAAGATAGATTACTTGGAATTTACATACAATAAAAGTATTACAAATATATAATATATACACATGCATGATGGGAAGTTGAATCAAACGAAAAGGAAACCATAAAAGGGAGCGTGAAGAGAGAATGAAAGGCTAATAATAAAGAAATGATGTAGACAAATAAAGTAGAAGTAGAATTTGGTAAAGCATGTATTCTTTTGATTTATATAGGGGGGATAATGTTGGTGTTATTATATTAATTCGATGGTTTTTTTTTTAAACCGGGGTCTAAATTCTTACCATCTGCTAATCTTTCAGGATGAGTGTAGCCATCGAGTAGTTTATTCTAATGGACTTAAAACATGACATCATTTCGACTAGCCATATAGATGTAAAAATGTCTCAGAGAAAAATTGAACTCAAATTGGAAGGGTTTACTTCATTTCTTTTGAGTCATTTTACCACTAAACCACCACCACTTGGCTTATAAGAATTAATGAATATAGAAAGAAAAACCCTAAAATGGTAAAGTAAATAATGAAAAAATTAGCTAAAAGTCTATGGTCCAAAGGTTTGGTAGAACGTGTAGGAAATTTGTCATAGAATTAATTAAGGTCAGAGATCGAATTCTATCATTTGCGGAAAAATTGGTAATTTATTTTCAATCATAATAAACGACGTAAATAGCAAATATAATCGGTATGTAGAAAAAATTGGTAATTTAGTAGATGTAGAAATTTAGTATGGATTTTGGTTGAGATTTATTTCGATAT